ATTTCGATACTTCGATCTCAATATCGAAAATAACGAAAGAATCATGAATAGAATAGGACACAACCGTAGAAAGATAATCATGTAAGATGCAGACAAAATTCTATGAGAAAGAACCATTAAATCAATAAAAATGTGTACGATGGACACAGGTAAATACACTCGGTAGACTTCTGACTAAGAAAACATCATCAGTTGATCAAATAAACGGTAGTTGGCCATGAATATTTATTTCATTTCTGTCTCGATTCTTTGCAATTAATATTCTAGTCATACGTCCGTTATATTAATGACGCTTAAAAAACTCGAAGACTGCTTAAAGGTCCTCATAATAAGTTACTCACTACGATGTAATAAACAGAATAAAAATTTCCAACAAAATTTCAATGGCAATATTTTTAAACTTGGTTTGATGCTGTGTGTGCATAATGCTTCGTTTGTTTGTCGAAGGACCCTTTTTTTTACTTGTGTAGCATAAAACGATTTTACTTATTTTTCCTTTTTCTTCCTCGTTTTTTCGTTTTTTTAAAATTTCTGTCAACCGAGCGCTCTCCTGAGAAGCACTACTCACGGCGACAGTAAAATACACAATACAGAGAGTAGACGAAGAATGACGTTAAACAAAGAAAAAAAAACATACTTATAAAAGGGAATGCATTTCAAATGGAGAACACACATCGATACTCATTTCTGGATAATGGAAAGTAGCTGACACTGTTCAGAAACAGGCAACGGCAAACAATGATAGACTTGCTTCAACACCAATTAAAGAGAAAAAACTTGAATGAGCATGAATTTGAGACAACTTTTCTGTGAGATGATATGGAAAATGATATTTTTCAATACACATTATTCGTTGAATTGCATAACAATTTCAGAAAATTTGACATATTAATCTTATTTCTTCAATACAAGAAAGACAGAAACTGGAAAAATGTTTGCTTGGTATTTATTTGAACATGAATTTCGAAAAAAGTCATTTATATCATGAAAAGCGTATTTTTAAAAAATCGATTTAATCATTATGCTACGTAATGAATGGGACAACAATCTATGTTTCAACATAGTCCAGTATGAATACAAAAACAACTGAAACTGAAGGGTGTGGGTGTGAGTGTGGGTGTGTGTGGGTGTAGGTCAGGGCTGCCAACTCCTAATTTTCAAATGGGGTACAGAAGATTTATAATGGGGTACAGTTGGGGTACAAAATTTTTTAAAATGAGGTACACCATTGGGGTACCTCATTTTCTTCTGAAACAGAGTTGTGGTAGGTGAGAAACAGCCAAAAAAGGGTCTTTTGAGAAAACAGCATTACTTTAAAAACGATTCCACTGTAGAAAGAAGTACTTTTTTCTTTAGTTTCAGTTTCGACGATGCATTAACGAGTAGCTTGCTTGGAGTGTCGGTGAATCATATAGTTCTTCGGTTAGGAGTCGAGAGATCTGCTTTAGAAAAAGAACACTGTCAAAGATATTGCTTACGAGAGAACCTCCTCGGGTGTTCTCTTCCAATTTGAATGATTTTTTGCCTCTAGATACTACATAGTGTGCTAGTGAAAGCCCTTAAAAGCTTTCGGTACCTATTGAGATTTAGCAAAGCTATTGGATTTTTAATGTCTAATTATTTCGGACCCTAGGTCTTAGGAAAAGTTGTATTTTTGAATTTTGATCTGAAATGTTATGCATATAGATATCTCAAGTAGACTAGCTTCCATAAAAAACATTCAGAAATTGTGAACAAAGTCTCTCCAAGATGTTAAATTTTCTGGATATAAGGTCTTTTCCATAAATAGAATATACAATATACATTTTTTGAAAATTTTGTATCTGGAAGTAACTCTGTTCAAAAACTTCTGAATTTTTTTTTATGGAAGCTAGTCTACTGGAGATCTCTAAATGGATAAAGTTTCAGATGAAAATTCGAAAATACAACTTTTCCTGAGACCTAGGGTCCTAAATGACTAGATATATTAAAAATCCAGTAGCTTTGATAAATCTCAATAGGAATCGAAATTCTTTTAGGATTTTTACTAGCACACTATGCAGTATCTACAGACAAAAAATCATCGAAATGGAAAGGGAACAGCTGGGGAGGTTCTCTCGTTATCTTTACATTTTGGACGAAACAGTACATATTAGGGGCACTGGAAAGAATATACCCAAGAAAAAAAACCGTGGGAAGATGTGCAAAAGTGATTTTTTAAGAAGTTGAAAATTGCACTTGTCATTTTTTAAAAGTATAAGATACAGAATTCATTTTCATTCTACACTGTTATTCGATAAGAAAAAAGACTTTTGTCGAGAAAGAGTGTATTTTCTCAAAATAGGGATTGTGACGGAGCCGCTGTTCCTCTTATCGTCACATTTTCTGTGACACTTGCAGTCGATTTTTTCAATAGATTCACAGGATGTTTCAAGAACTTCTATCGCTAACTCTTCATAAATTTGAATCTCACCTTTTTTTTGCCGGAATTCCAATGAAAATTGATATTATTTTTCATTCAGTCGAAACTTAAATCTAATTTAGTTTTTTAAATACTATGTGTCAGTTAGATCTGATAAAAACAATAAAACAAAGATAAAAAGTGGAAGAGTCGTCAAACTTTATTTGGATTTTGGGATTGAAATCAATCTCGCGAAACAGAAAAGGTTAAGAGAAAACTAAATGAATAAAATGTTTGCTAATTTGCCTTTCTCAACTATTTATCAATATTGTCCTATGCAAATGACTCTAGAAAGATGATGTAAGAGTGTGGGTGTGAGTGTGGGTGTGGGTGTGGGTGTGGGTGTGAGTGTGGGTGTGGGTGTGGGTGTGAGTGTGGGTGTGGGTGTGTGTGGGTGAGTGTAGGTGAGTGTGGGTGTCGATATCGATGTTGATGAAGGGAACACTAGCATCCACACCCACACCCACACCCACACCCTTCAAAGACTTATTTATAGCAATAAAAGCTCAAATATCTAAATGGGGTACAAAAAGTGTATCCCAGGGGTACAAAATGACGAAATGGGGCATTGTACCCCAAAATGGGGTACAGTTGGCAGCCCTGGTGTAGGTGTGGGCGTGAGTGTGGGTGTGGGTGGGTGTGGGTGGGTGTGGGTGGGTGTGGATGGGTGTGGATGGGTGTGGATGCTAGTGTTCCCTTCATCAACACCGATATCGACACCCACACTCACCCACACCCACACTCACACCCACACCCACACTCTCTGTTTTCAATAACTGATTGAGTTGTAGCTTTTTAATTCTTCCAAAGTACACAAGCCCATTCAATATTTCGGTCCAAAGATATACTATTAGCTGAAAATTCATCGCAATTTAATGAAGAACAAACACTTTCTCTGCTCGGAAATAGATGATACAAGTTATGTAGCATCATTCCTCAAAAGGTTAAGCATGAACAGGCGCATGGTAGGGAAATGGAAACACATAATCATGTTGTGTAGTTGATTATAAAGAAATTTCCGTCTTATAGATTCAACCCACTGAGAATCTTTATTAATGCATTCATTTCCTACTTTAGATCGAAGGTTAGTATCGAATCAAGAATTGGTGACAGTCTTGGAAAAGTCAGTAAAATCACTATCATTATGTTCAGCTGCACTCGATCATGAAGTTATCTATGGTATTAATTTATTTGATATGTCCTCATTTTCCAATTCAATCACTGCAGAAAGAAAATATCAGTTTGAAACGATTGGAAAACACGAAGCTTCGACTTGGTGCATTAATAAACTAGGTGAATACATAGTATATAAATATTTGAAACTGAAATACAGTAACCATTTGGATTATGTGTCAATTAAGTGGGAAAACGGAAATGCAGATGTTAATTTGCCATATGACATTCTAGTAAAAGAAAATGGCGAAGTTCACTTTATTGAAGTCCAAACAAGGCAATCATATGATCAACAAACAATTCAACTAACGGTCTCTCAAATCGAAGACATTTTCAAATATCGACAAAATTATTCTGTTTATTGTGTCTATCTTAAAGAGAAGAAAATTGAAGTTTTAGACAATATCCCATGGCGTTTGAAACACAGACAACAGTTGGCTTGTCTTATAACAAAAAAAAAATTATCTTCAAATATTTCGTTTCCTGTCGACTGATAAAGCAAAACCAACTGACGTAGACTGACTCACACTATGCATTTTACTTAACTTTGATGCTTTACCAATTAAATTTAAAAAAAGTCGACGTTTTTTGACATAATATTCCAAGGTTTTTTATTTTTCAAAATAATACTACAATGCTTTGATCGAGATAAAATGTTGGAACTTGAGAGTGTGAGTGCTGGGAAACAACTAGATCACACAGCTTCTCGATGCATTCTTTTTCCTTTTAGAATCGAAGTATTGTTTCAAAGATCCACCACGCTCATTACCTGAATGATCTCATTATCTGATAACTCTTATATTGATATATGTACTAAAGTCTCTTCTATGTCATAGAGAAAACAGTACTTCGATATCCTTTCGTGTTTGCAAGTTGTTCAAAGATTAAGAAATTTGAAAAAATGTACTATATAAAGTACGTAGACCTGAAAAGGTTAATAAATCCAAATTATGCAAAAAGAAATAAAATCGTTAAGAAAAAAGGTACTAAAAATAACATCTAAAAGAAAAAGTTTTACTGCTGTTTATATACCAGCTGGTAAAGCATAAAATGTTACAAACAATGAGATCCAAAAATGCAGAAGGAAAAAATGAACGTCGTTTGATCGATTTGTAAATATTCAACTTAGAATATGTAGGGTAACTTTATTAGACAATGCATCGGAATGGGAAAATGAACTTTGAAAATGTCCAAGCTTCTTGAAAGAATACATTTGCCAATATATCATTGGTATGGCGATCAGGTTGAAATTTTACAAATCACCCTCACAACAAAGCATATAGCTTTGGATAAAAAATAAAACGAAGACAACCATGAAAAGTAACAAAAACTCTGTCAATACATAACTATGCAAGTAAAATTTTTACTCAAATGTTTGTCTCTTTATTTAACAAAAATTTCTCCTTTACCTAAAAAAATCAAAGGTTTTTCCTTAGAATTAAAATAAAAAAACTTCGCAAAACTTTAAGTTTTTATTTGGCTTCTATTTAAAATTATCTTGTTTAAATAGTAGCTATCGCTAAATGCATTTTGAAAACTCCTTCTTCAAAAGGTTCAATTAACGAAATATATATATGTTTAAAATCAGCGTAAAATAAATAATAATTTCTGCTAAATATTTTGCTAGCCATTTTCAAAAGAGTTCACAAGTGGCGTTCTGTGCTAATTATCTTCATAATGGTAAAATGTTTTATCATCTAAGAGCAAAACACTTAAAATCCTAAGATCGGTAATGTGGACTGCCTTTTCTAGTGTGTGGAATCCGTTTATATCAACCAACTGGTCTACTTTTCAAGTTTTGCCTATATGGACTGAAGATGACGCTATTTGATGATACTCAAAAAAATAGAAAAACTGATAATGATTCCATTCAAAATATGATATTAATATTTTATATATTATCCAGAATCTTTTTGTCGAATCATGCTTTTTAATTGACTTGTAAATAACGGAATGAGTCATTAGCATCAGTTTTTGTACTATTTATTAAGTATGAATTTCGTATAGATTGTGCAAGATTTTGACTTATATAACAGTTAACTTTCCTATCTGTTTCATAGAACAAAAAAAAGTTACATCGCCACATTTAGTTACTATTTTAAAAATTGACCTTAACATGAAAATACTAAAATATGTTTTTGTTTTTATTTTGAATCTAATAACTTGCATTCTTATTTTTCTCTAGTTCGAAATAAATAGTTATTTTATAAATTTCTAAATCAAATACCTTAAATACTAGGATTACTTTATATTGTTTAGATTTTATTATCGGTATATTTATATATCGATAATTCTGATTCAACATCTTTTCATTTGGGCTCAATAGAAAAAATGATCTACAAGTTGAATTAAGTATTTATCAAATCAATCAAAGTGGGTGAGTATGGATGTGGATGAAAAGAAGATTCAAATCCACATCCACACACCCATTGATGTCACATCGAATAGTTATTTTTTGGAATTCAAAAAATATTTCTTTTAGCTTAGTTATTCTGTGTGATATTTATAAAATATCACTTTACTGACGTTTTCGTAACTGCAATGAGGGTGTACTTCATACACTATGATAAAACGTTCCGGATATACAGTGGTTGCTCATATTTCAAAAACGCTAAGTTCATTAGATGATAGGATATCAGAATATCCGTCACTGTCAGTGATAATCTTTGAAGTGAGAAAGAAGGAAACAAAGTTGTACTTCTTCATTCCTTTCAGATCGTACCTTACCAAATCGTTTGGTTTAATATCTAAATCTATTAGGAATTTTATAGAAAGACTTTAACTAACGCATAAAGAACAAGCAGACAGAAGATCATTAACAAATGGAGCATCTAATACCATGTAAAGATTCGATTTACTGTTTTGATCAATATTCTCCCGAAAAATCCTTAAGTCATAATCAAACTTATTCACATCCGTGTTGTTTCTCTGAATTATGTCGAAATATTCATGACATACCTCATAGTATACAATTTACGCATAATAAACACGATGTGCCTCAATGCAAAGATGATATGAATTGTTCTAACTTGACAGATCCTGCTCATCGTTCCTCTTATCGACATACTGATTTACCGGATTATTTAGTTCCTTGTTCAAATCAACAGCAATGTCGCAATTTTACTTCTGAACATCGAAAGAAACATTTTCATGGAGAAAAAATCGATACACTTACAATAAATCAAAATACTTCGAAAGGTAAAAATAAATTGGAGAATAAATGTGTACATAATTCCATAATAACTTTAGGAACATCACAGATAAAAGTAAACTTTGCATCAAGAAAAGCTAAAAATCAATCTCAACAGGATCATTTTCATTCATCAGAGCCTGATTGCATTGCTAAGCGAACTAGACTTCAACAAAAGTTACGTGCGAATAAATCCTCATCCGCATTGAATGAACAATCTTCTCATGTAGGGTTATTTGAAAATGAAGAAACTAATCGTAAAGATTTACTGGCTACCTTCTATACAGAGGTAGCAGGTAGAAGTAGTATTATCGAAGCAACTGATCGTGATCAATATTATAATCCAACAGGAAGAATTTATGATTTAGGCCGAGATGATGCATTTAATGGTTATAGTATTTTAATTGCACAGTTTTATATAGATTCGCAATTCAATGATACAGCTATGAAAGTACCAATTGATGCATTAAAAGTTAAAGGATTTCAGGTGATACATGTGAAAACAGAAGATGAATGCATAACACAAATGGCCTCGAATCGTTATGACATTGTATGGGTTATAAGTACAAATCAAATACAAAATTCATCATTCATTTCAGCTCTAACAAAATATCATTCATCTGGTGGTGCTATTTTCTTATTTGCTGATAATGCGCCATATGTGTGTCATGTATCTGAATTTCTTAAAACAAAATTTGGTATAACTGTCGAAGGTAATTATTACGGTGATAAAACACTGGCATACAAAGAAAATGGTCATCAGAAAACAGGACATTTTGGTCAACATGATATTTTTACGGGAATAGAAAATTTATATGAGGGTGTCACCATTTGTCATCCTGTCTTTTCAACACCAGCAAGTCGCACGAAATTCACCGTCATAGCAACTGCAACTGATGGTAATGCTAGTATTGCCGTGTATGATCCGCCAGCAACATCGACAGAAGGACGATTATGTTTAGATTGTGGCTTTACTAAACTGTATATAAAATGGGATTCGGCAGGCACAGCTCGTTACATTGTTAATGCTAGTTGTTGGCTGCTTGGTATGGAAAAACGTATGAAACAGAATAGACTAAACTAAAACAAGAAATAAAACTACAGAACTAATTTTTCTCAGTATTCATCATTCTATGATTTTATGCCATGCAAATTTTTCTGTTTGTTAATTTCGACAAATAAATATCTTTAATGTCATTGTATGTCAATAGTCTATCACCGAATAGATACTAGAATATAGGTACTTGTCCTGTATTTAACTGTGACAATGAGTGTAAAAACAGAACAACAAGAAAGGTAGTCTTTCTCACACATTAAGCATCAAGTTGGTAATAATTATTTCTCCAAATTTTCAATGCCTTATCTTTACATTAATCGAAGACTAATTGATTCAACATTTGTAATTATAATCAATACAATCTCGTAGTTAATATAGGAGGAGTGATTCTTAGTCTCAGGATGTGGGTGTGAATATATAGTAATTGAAGGGACACACCTACACCCATAAATAACGAGAGATCTCATACAGAACGCCCTATTCATTATTGTATGAGACTTGTATTTGCTTAAGTTAGGGAGTTCCTTGGGATGTGAAAAGAATAATGAATTAAGAAGGTTTCTTACATCAACCAATCGTTCCATCAATCGAATAAATCATACATCTGTTGTTCATCAAGTTTCTCTAAGACAAAGCTAATTTCCAAAAAGTAACATTTCATTCACTTTACTGAAAAAAATACCACAAGTATCAGAGTAAAATTACATTAAACCGCTTCTTATTGATTTCTTTTGACTATTATGATCTTTTGAAAAATTTCTCAAGTTCAGGGACTTGCTCCAATTATATTTAGTTCACTGTGAACGTCCGTTTCTTTGATAAACATTTAGATTTGCAAAATTTCACAAGTGTAGAACTAGTGAAATTCAACTAGATATCTTCTATGATCTCAAATGAAATAAAAGTTTGACAAGAAAATGTTGAATGTATTTTAAAATAGATTAACTTGGTTTTCTGTTTGATAAAATATTATCGAAAGAAAGAGAAAACCCAATAAACTTGGTGAAGATGGCACAAATATGGTAATATTGAACATCAGAATAGTACTATCAAATTTTTACTATTCTACAATCAAAAAATTAAAATAACTACTATAATCGTTGCTGAAACTAAGCAATATTTTGAGCATAATAAGAATCTGACTTAATGAACAAAGTGAAATTTCTCTGATATCGTGATATCGACCATATGTATCAGTAATCAGATTCAATCTTGCTTAGGCATTACGAACGCAACATACAATCATGAAGTTATCGAAATTGTCCGGGATGCAATAGTCAAGGTCGACAGGTAATGCTAGGAATGATGTTGAATCTTTACTATCCATAAAATTTCCTTGTCTTCGAACCGTATTTGTCGTTGAAATGAAGAACTATATAGTTTTTTTCCTTTATGATAATTTACTTATTGACACTACATCGCGAATCTTCATCATGGTGGTGGTACGTTTTCTTTAAACAGAACTAAAAATACATGCAGTGTGATGAGTACAACGACCAAGTAAAATTGCTAAAGTAAAATGACAAATACAATTTCTTTTTTCAATATATTATTGGAGAGTTTCACGTATATTCTTCTTAAATAGATTCCCTACCTCAATCAAATTTGTGGTGTAAGCTGAGAGTGAAAACTTCATGAATATCTACTGCCACACCAATTCACCACACGAACACCAAGCACATCTTCTGTTATCTTCAGTGTCCTAGCAACCTGCTGACAAAAGAGACCAGCATTTTATTTCAATTGAGAGTTGAGATGAAAAAAACTGAATATTGTTCGTTTACTGACGAAGCGATAGTGTCTGTTTTATTTCCTTGAATTTTATTTAAAAGACTTCAATGGACTGAAAAATGAAGTAGGCAAGACGAAGCAGCTTGCTTCAGAGGGTGGGTGTGGGGTGTCGATGAGGGTGTGGGGGTGTGGATGTGGGTGGGTGCGGGTGTTGTTTAAGAGACAATCCACACCCACACCCCGCCCCCACCCCCACCCCCACACTCACACCCACACTCACACCCACCCACACCCACACCCACAGCCACCCACACCCACCCCCCACACCCACACACCCACCCACACCCACACCCTTCCGTCAAACGCTCCTCCTTTATCCGGACTTGCGACCGGCACAGAAGCCGCTGGATTGCGGTCTCTATGGTGGAGTTATATTTACATATAGATATTAGGAAATTTTGTCAGCGTTCATTCGCATATAGAAGAAAAGAGAAAGAAAGGAAGAAAGACAGAGAAACAATGCCATTTTTTCATTCGTTCATTCACCATGAATTTGATTATAGAAAAATGCTTCATTATTTTTATTGGTGATGAATGAGTGATGACATCGGTCAAATAAATTCAATGAGCATATATAGGGTTGTGCATAACCTTTTGCTAGGGGGGTAGCGCCATTATTTCAAGTTGAATACCTAATGAATTTTATACCAAATTAAAGAGCGTTGAAAAATGGATTTATTAGTACTAAATAGTAAGAGTTTTCAAAATATTTTAATGTGGAACTTACGAAATTTTCGGAAATTTTATGCTTTTTTTACCATAGAAAATGAAGGCACCACCAATTCAAATATAGAGTAAGATATTTTCTTTTGATATTTTTATATGGTTCGATAGAGCTCGTCGTGCTCTACAAAACTGCATATATCAGAAATTTTTTAAGCCATTTTTTTCAGATAAAAACTTTAAAAAATTACTTGTAAAATCCTAAAAAATCTCTAGAAACTCGTTTTTTTATATGGAAGAAAAACACTTGTTTTTTTCAATGAAATTCGCTTTTTTCATTATTTTTATTGATAAAGACAGTTCGAAATATACTCCTCCGGTGCGGCGTGAAAAACTGCGTCTGATGAGTATATCTTGAAGCGTCTTTGCTAGTAAAAATAATGAAAAAACCTAATTTTATTGAAAAAATCGAGTATTTTTCTTACCTATAAAAAATTGCCGGTGCCTTAATTTTTTATGCTAAAAAAAAAGCATAAAATTTCCGAAAACTTCGTAAGTTCGACATTAACATATTTTGATAACCCTTACTAGTTAGTACTAAGAAATCCAGTTTTCGACGCTCTCTAATTTGGTATAAATTTCATTAGGTATTCAACTTGAAATAATGACGCTACTCCCCTAGCAAAAGGTTATGCACAACCCTGTATATATATATATATATATGAATGTTTATATTTATAAACGAAAAGATAGATAAGTGAAAATAAATATGGAACATTCATTGATTCAATTAAATGATTTACCTGACGAGATTCTTATGATTATTTTGAAGAAATTGTGGAATATCCAAGTATTGTACTCTCTAATAGGTGTTAACAAACGACTCAATGCAATTGTACATGATCCAATTTTTGCAAATCGCTTAACGTTGATGAAAGATTTTTCAGCTTATTCTATCGATCGATTACCTGATTCAATACTTGAACGGTTTTGTTCAGAAATCTTACCTGAAATTCATCATAATATCAAATGGCTTAATCTTGAATCATCAAGTATGAAACGTATTCTTCTTGCTACAAATTATCCGAATTTATATGGACTTGGTTTATATGATATTGAGATAGAAACAGTTCTATCTCTCATTAATGGTAAGATATTTTTCTCAGTTCTTTCATTAATTAATCAATGATATATATACAAGAATGAAAATGATTTTGAGTATCTAATTTCTACGAATAGATTTAGATTATTAGACAACTTTTTATAAAATATTTCTGAACTTTTACATACAAACCAATGAACATAACTTTGAAGAAAATTAGTAGTAGAAAAGCAATACAAGGAATTACTTATAATTATAACAATATTTGAATAAAATTCTGTAATGTCTTTAGTTGAAATTTTAAACATTGATTCTAAAAGAAGAAAATGTAGAGTATATAGATGACTAAAATAAAATACAATGTCGATGATAAAATATAATTTATTGAAGAATTTGAAAGAAAAAAAGATTATACATGTGGGTAGTTCCATGGGAAGTCAAACACAAAATACACAAAGTATTCAGAAAATTTTCTTTTTTACTAGACTTTGTAGAGCTTTTTCTGCTGATCATTTTGATATTAAAAAAATTGCGAACTTCATTAAGAAATGACGGAGCGATAGCCAAAATAAAAAAACATAGTAAAGCAGTTCAAAATGCTATTTTTTCTGATAAAATATCAGAAAAAGTTGGGTCTCTGATCTCCAAGTGCTTATATTCTCGTCAGATATGACAACGTAGGTTTTATGGAGCAAAGTTTTCTCTACCAAATCCTATGGGTGATTTCTCAAAGACGATGGGAAAATATGGAATAAATTCCCATTCAATACTCCTTACAATATTCCTATCAAAAACCCTGTTTCATACGGTAAATATCATATACAATGCTTCACTAAGATTTATTCCATATTTTTCCATCGTCTTTGAGAAATCACCTATAGGATTTTGTAGAGAAAATTTTGCTCTATAAAACCTGCGTTGTCATATCTAACGAGAATATGACCTCTTGGAGATCAGAAACCCAACTTTTTCTGATATTTTAACAGAAAAAATAGCATTTTAGACTACTTTACTATGTTTTTTATTTTGGATATAGCTCCGTCATTTCTTAATGAAGTTCGCAACTTTTTTACATCAAAATGATCAGCAAAAAAAGCTCTACAAAGTCTAGTAAACAAGAAAATTTTCTGAATACTTTGTGTATTTGTGTTTGACTTCGTATGGAACTATCCATGTACATTTCGAGATTGTTAAAAAGAATAAATAAATAAATACATTAATTCTATAAACAATATAAAACTTGATAAATATGTGTTTTATCAAATTTTTACTTTTTATTTAGACGGATCTTCCTCAACTTCTATAGATAAAAGTCAAATTTTAGCACTTGTGATCGAACGTACTACATATGGAAAAATAATTTCAACAAACGATATTAATGCAACTATATTAACACATATCTTTACTACGTTCTCGAATCTACAATGTTTAAATTTTTGTCCATCATCAACTTGGAATAATCGATTATCAT